AGCTTTTACTCCAATAAAAAAACCACTCCTTTCAAAAAAAATATTTTGACCCGGTTTTAGAAAAGTGGGGAATTTTTATTATCATTAGATAATGAGATAAAGAAGATAATTTTTTCAGATGAAAGCAAGTTTAGCTTTTTTCTCTGATGGTAAAGTTTTTGTGTTACGTTAATCCGGCGTACGCCTTAAAACATGTAACTTGTCTGCTACTGTAAAGCATGTTGAAGGGACAGTAATGGTATGGGAATTTTTTTCATACTTTGGTGTAGAAAACTTGTTTTTATTTGAGGTAAAATGAACGCTGAATACTATGTGAATATTTTATCTAATAATTTACCCGATTTGGCTAGATTAATGGGTCTGCAAAATTACATTTTTCAACAAGACAATGGTTCCAAGCATACTGCAAAGCTTTACAAAGCTGTATTTTGAGTCAAAATAATTTAAACTTCTTTCTTGGCCTTCACAATCTTCAGATTTAAATCTATTTGAGACACTTTGTGCTATTATAAAGCAAAAATTATCACAATATCGCCCTAAAAATTTAAATGAATTGAAAGAAATAATAGTACGTGAATAGCAAAATTCCATTAGAATTGTGTCAAAAATTGGCTTTAAGCTTTTACAAAAGATCTTTAGCATGTTTTGAGGCAAAAAACCATATTAAGTATTAAAAAAAATTTCCTTTTTTTAAACATTTTTTTTTAATTTATTGTTTAAATTAAAACAAAAAAGAACCAAATACACTGTAAAAACGTACATAAAAAATTTTACAGCCGAAAATAAACATCTTATGCTACAATTTGGCTAGAATAAAGCCCCGAAGAATATTCTTTTTTTTAAAACATACTGTATATACTAGAAGTTTAGATATACCATTTACAGGCAATAAACTACGCACTGTGTTGCAATTTGTACATACAACGCGCTTTAGAAAACAATATTTTTTCAGAAAGAAAATTCTTGAATTTAACGATGTCTGTAAATATTGGATCACCAATTCATGTCCGCATTTGGTAAAAATTAACAAAAATTTTATATTTTTTTTTCAATCCAATAAAAATTGTTTGAAACATAACATTGAATGTCTGATATCGTTTTTTTTTGATGACCAAAGTAATTACCTATTGGATATTAAATATTAACTTCAAAAAATTTAAGAAAGAAGTATAAAAAAAATTATAAACAAAATAGTTTTTTTTAAGAGTTTTTAAAATCAAAAATTAAGTCGATATATACCAAAAAATGAGAATGGTTGCATATATTTAAAAGTTTTCCTACCAATCATCCAGGTATCTATTCGTTAGTTTCAAATAATTATTACCTTTTATTTTTTCAAAAAAGGTAGGCAAACATCTAAAGAAGACCCAAAATTTTCAGCTAAAATCGGGGACATTCTTTTGATAGTCTTATATACTTCTTTTTCATTAGCTCTTACGATATAAGCAATTGAAAATTAGGGTGTTTTGAGAAGCCACAATTTAATATTCTTAGAAACTTAAATTTAGAAATTTTTAAATCTTCAAAGATAGTTTTCCTCCAGATAGAAACCTGTTTTTTATAAGCAGAGCAGAATTTATGTTTACAGCAAAAAAAATTTATAATTATTCGCCTTAAATGTTTTGCCATCATTCACACACATCCTACACACGATTCCATTTATTATCTTAAACCTATCCAAAATTAAATTTTGAAGTTTTATCTTTTTAAACATTTTAAATTCCATTTTTAAGGGCTAGAAAAAAATTTTTAGAATTATTTTTAGTGCATTTAAGCCCTTCTAAACATTTAATTGATTTTTTTTTAACTCGGAGAAATTGAAAAAACCCGACTTAATTTTTTAAACCCATTTTTGGCGGGAACACGGGCGTTTTACCATAGAGAGTTAATTCTTTAATATTTTTCTTTATAATACTTTTTTGAAATCTTGCAATGTCATATTAGGTGTATAAACAAAAAAATTATAAATTTGGTTGTAAAACACAAAAACATTCTTTTTTACAATTTTGTCAATTGATCCATTATAGTTATAAACGAGAGAAAATCATTTGTCTTGCTTAACGGTTCCAATGATTTTGAACATCACACAGTTTGCATAAATATGATTTTGTAAAACAAAATAAATGCTCATGTACAGAATGTTAAGTTGCATCTGAAAAAAAAGTTTAAAATTAAAAAACGAAATGATAGACCGAAAAGCAAAAAAATAATTATTTACTTTAACTTATGTACAGAAAAAAATTTTGGGTAAAATTTGATCTTCCTTAAATTATTTTATCACTTTTTTATAAGGATTTAAAAGTCCGAGAAATATGTGTACGACGCTTAGAAAATTAGATTTTGCTATTTAGAGAAAAGACCTCCCATGTTGTCAAAACCCAAGACACGGGGCTTTGTACAACATCGCAGACAGACCCTCAAAAATCCCAAGCTCTTTTTTATTTCAACACCTTCCACGTTTTTTGACATTTTACAGGGCTTGAACAACACAACAATTTTAGAACATTTTATTATCAACTAGACCACCGTTACTTAATATCCTATTTTTAAGTTTATAAAAGTCTATACAAATAAAAATTTATAATTTTTAAAATATTCTAAACAGCTGTTGTGCCAAAGGAATTCAACTGGTTGGCCCTAAAATAATACTTTAATACGCCCAAGAGTTTATTATTGCTGCCTGTTTTTTGGGGGTTTTCAAAACGCATGTCTTTTCATTAGAAGTTTTATTTGTCTCGTTCTTCCTAAAAGAAATAGGTTAAAATTTAAAATTATTTCAAAGTAAAATTTTTTAGATAAAATCATTTTAAGCATTGGTTGTAATACAACATTCTGACACCCTACAGTTTTAAATCACTAACATCTCTAAATGATACTCTCCCTCAAATTTCGCCCATCATTCTTAATTTTCGATTAAAAACATTCTTTTCGTCTTTTATACTTCTTATCTAATTTCTTACTGCTATGACCTTTCTAATAATAGACCGTATCGCTATTTTAAACCATTTAATTGGAAATTCATCTAAATAATTTTTTATTTCAACTTTTCTTTTAAAGGGGTCATATGCCGAGTATTTGTTGAAAATTAAAGGTGTTATTGCGCCCAATGTTTGGTTGTAATTTATGTTAATATAGTAATAGTAGGGGACATAAAAACGAAATTTTAATTCGAATAAGTAAAACTTTTTTAAATGACATGGAATTTATATTACATATTTAAATCACATTTTTGGATTTATTTATTGTTTTTAATTAAATTTTGCATTATAAAAATGTCTTAAATAACTTTTTTATATAAAATATGAACAAAAAAACGCAAAAATATTTTAATGCTTGGTATGTTCCCCATTTGCATCAATTTCGGCTCTGCAACGATTTTTCATGCTTTGAACTAATATTTAAGATGTTTTTTATCAATATTATTCATTCTTCGAAAGTAAACTTTTCTAACTGTAGTTTGTTTTGGGTCTACTTTTAGCAATATTAATCTTAATGGTTGATAATAAATTCTCAATAAGATTCAAATCGGGCAATTTTGCAGGTTAAATCATTGTAATAATTTTTTTATCTGTTAACTTTTCTTTCATGAACTTGCTTGTATGCTTGAATCATTATTCTGTTAAAAAATATATGTTTTTAATTTAAGTTTTTTGGCTAAAAACATGCCAAATTTGTGTCTTAAGTTCTTTTATACTTTCTTAATTTATAATTCCCCCAGTTTATGTATATTTCCGGCACCACTGACCGAAAAACAGGCCCATAACCATGAAATTACCCCATCCATGCTTAGAAGTTGAAGAAAGATTTTTGGTTCGTGTTTATTATACGGTAGATCCCGCCTTCACTCGGGTTTAAAAAACAAATTTTAACCTTATTTATGTCAAGAACATCAAAAAAAATAATAGTTAGAAAAGCCCGAACTTTTTGGTGATATAGAAATAAAAAGCCATAGGATTTTTTTTGCTTTGTGGTGCTAAAAAAGTGGTATTAACAATTTCTTTTACCCCAAAATTTTGATTTTCATGAAAAGTAACTGGTCTCAAGATCTTTTAAAAATATGATTTGTTTATAAAAATTACTTTAAATATAACTTTAATAAATATTTTAATTTTTCTTTTTCTTTATTCCTTTTAACATAAATTTTAGAAATATATATCAATTACTTTCTTAGTTCAACATCTTACGAGAATGCTTTTCTCAATACCATTCCAATTAGCTTCAATTGTGTTGATATGTGTATTTGTTTCCTTATTTATTAACTGCTTAGAATGGTTGACAGCTCTAGGCTCTTTAAAAAAATTGGCTAGCTCGACATAACCTTTCAAACAATCACTGAATATAGCTTATTGCTTACAAATATATTTTCTACAGAATAAAGTAAGGATAGAACTGTCACGCTTGTCGACATTTGCCAGAATAGTTCTTCTAAACAACCTTTATACCGCCCCTACTACCCAAACACCGCCGCCTACTCTATGACCTTTGTAGTATTTTCTTTTCCCAAATTTACTTTCATCAACCTCAGCTATGCTACCTTTCCCACACATTTTAGTAAATTTGTTTAAATATCTGTAAAATACTCCTAAATCTCATAGTTTGGAGCATAAATTTGAAACAGTTTAACGGTGGCGAACATTGGATATTTTGGCAATTAAACTAAAAAGCACACTTTCTAACCACACATCTAAAATTTTGACTACGGTGATAATTGGGAGACGAGCGTCTTCAAAAATTGTGCCTTTAAATATAGAAAACCTATACCTACACAAAGAAAATTTACATATGACAAGGTGGTCACGCTTTAATTTTTTGGTTTCATAACCACATTTAATGCAAAATGTATTTAAATAAAAGTTTATAACAATATCAGTTATTTCTTTGTACTTCTCTTCTTCCTTTAATTCAAACATTTTAGGGGATAAAAAAAAATTGCCAATGCCACTTTTGGGCACCACAAAGCAAATTTAACCAAAGCTATATTAATAAAGAAACATCACTTTAAACTGCGTTTTTAGAACCTCATATTGCAAAATTATATATAGCAAAATGTGCTGTCACCGGCGACAGAGAATTACCTAATAATCAGTTTTAAAGTAAAACCCTTGAATATAAAACAGAACTCCGAAACTTTTGTGTTTCAGAGTAAAAACAAATGTATTTAAGCGGTTTAAATAAATAAATGATGTTAAATAAGAATCTAAGTCTTCTGTAACCCACCTACCACCTTTAGGAAATAAAGGTAGTAACATGTGCCTTGTTGAAAATTAAAAGTGGTGCGATAAGTGAAAAGATTATCCGCATTTGACTTGTTTAAGAGCACGAAATATTGCGACAAACATCTGTAGGCATGTATTAGACCATGTAGATTTGCAGTTTCGATTTGAAGGGGATGTTTTTGAAAATTTTAAATATAGTTTTAGGAAAATTATTTTAATTTTGTATAAATATATGCTGAGGATGTCGTTTTCAGATATGGGGTTTGGACTAGGCAAAGATCTCGACTATTTAAGCAAGTTGGCAGATTTGGAAAGGGTGGCTGTTTGTAAATACAACTGCGCTCATAGTAAAAAGACTGGCAGTTATGATTCTAACGGGCTACAAAAAAATGGTAGGATACGATGAAAGCTCATTTTTTATAAGAAAATATAATCGTGGGGGATAAAACGGTGGTTTAAGAAATGTTTTATTGTGCCAGTTTCGAATGGGAATCATATCACTTTTGACAAAATTTTTAGTTAAAAATATAAATTCAGGAACTAAAATTATCACTTATAAGTGAAGAGCATAAGCATGTGCATTATATAATATGCCAAGTTTTTACCACGAAACAATAAACCACAGAATTGGTTTGTAGATCCCAACGATTCTTCTGTACAAACACAAAATATAGAAGAATTGTGATCCAGATCGAAATACTTCTTAAAAAAAAGGCATTTCTGTCGAAAAACAATCTACTTATCTTATAGAATTTATCTGTCAGTATGCATAATAAAAAGACAAAGGATTTTAAAACTGCTTATTTTGTTACAATATAATAAATTTTTATAAGGATATTCTTTTTTTTAATTCAAATCCCGAGTGAGAGCGGGATCTACCAATTATATGCTGTATTTAAAAATGTAAAAACTTTTAATTTTTCTGAACTCTAATAGCTAGAAGTTCAAAAACAGAAATTGTTGCTGTTGAAAGGGCTTATATCAATGAAGAAAAGGTGGCTGTAACAATCAATTGTATGTTCATTGACTCTAATACGGTCAATATTACATTTTGCAAGTCCGGTTTGTTTGCTAATACGATGACTTGCAGCGTATGCTTAAGAAGTTGTCTAATGGCATATGTAAAGCGTAAGAGTGCTCCATATGAATATAATTGGGCTTGTAAAAGACCATGTTTACACACATGTTCTATAAGAACAGGCAGCTTTTTTGATTCTTTCAAAATTGGTGTTAAAGTTATTTTTAAGGCCATCTATAAATACCCCGTTAGAATTTCTTATATAGATATTGCATGTAAACTCAACATATGTCGGCAAGCGACAAGTGGTATAGATAATCTAATTGGGAAATCTATTTGTGAATATATGGCTTTCCAGACAAGTAGAACGGGTGGAATGGATGAGCATGGTGTGCCGAAAGTTGTGAAGATAGATGAAATTTTATTTTTTTAAAGATAATATTAACCGTGGGAGAATGCGAAACGGTTAATGGGTTATAGAAGGCATTAGGTGTAAATCTAGAAATTGCTTTATTTTATCTGTTGAGAATCAAAATGCAATTACGATTTCAAGAATCATTTCTGAAAACGTTTTGCCTAAGACGGGGTTATTACAGACGAATGGCGTGGATATAGTGCTGCAATAAGGACCTTAAATTTAACATTTATATCAACTTGAAACAATTAACCATTTTTTAAATTTTGTCTATTCTTTGAAAACAGATGTTCACACACAATCAATCAAAGGGTTGTGGTCTAGATCTAAGTACTTTTAAAAAAACGGTCTGTTACAAGAACAACATTTAGAATTTTTGGATCAGTGGCATTTCCATGCCCACCGGGCCCAAAAATGTTTTTTGAGTGGAATAAAATTCAATTTTTTTAAAAAAAAATAATATTAAAATTTAATTAAATAATTGATATGATCATGCGAACCTGTCTACTTTATTATTAAATTTCCAGTCAAGTTCACTTAAAAATTCTTATCTAAGCTCTTTTTTTACTCCTTTTCTTTTTTTTATGTCTAACTTCGGCGAATTGTTAAAAGCCTTTATATCCTGCGTATTGGCACCCGTTTCTGGTTTTATAAAAGTATACTTATGACAGACCATGTCATGAACGAATCCCATGTTGTTAAGCGCAGAATAGCTTTTATGCTCATTAGTATGTATTATACTATTAGATGCAACACTAGCACAGATTATTGGTAAAATAGCTAAAGCTTTTTTTATTCTCTATAACCCAAGCATAAGTTCTGTTAATGTTCTTGTCAAATTCACCGACACATAAGGCATCGATTTATTTGCAGGAGTTCTCTCCTTATGTGCTTTAATACTGTGATTGAGTGTCATTTCATAAAAAAAAGTTTCAAAGTTATTATTACATCGCAAGTAGACGATTTTTTAGTATTATATTTTTCTCAAACACAAAAACAGTGTACGTTAATTAATTCTCATTTTTGTGTTTTTTGTAACATTTTTATGCCCAAAAACCAATCAGTGGCATATTAGTGCCCGTTGGGCTTAAAAATTCCACCAATCCATTTTAATTAATTTATAAAAGGCGATTCTTAACGTCTTGTTATCGCCATTTTAAACATTTTTTTCTCCACTTCCATTCATTTAAAAAAAATTAATTCTCCCTTTATTAATTCTGCCACGTTCTTCGATAAGCATGCTTAAGATGAAACTACAGATTTTAAATTTGGTTGGTATGTGCTTCTTGAGCATTAACAAACCCAACAGAGTGGTTTACCACTTTATGGAAAGACCAAATTTAGCAATGGCCCCGGGGTAAGATGGATAACCATCAGTAATAATGATAGATCCGGGTACAACATGTTCATCGAACATGTCTAATATAGTCGGAACTTCTCTGTTAGAAACAAGCTTCGAACAAAGTTCCTACAATTTCTCTCTTCTAAATCCCTTACTAACCATTGTACATTGGGTTTGTTGTCTAGGGTACTAGATGGGTTAGGTATTAACTCCCCATTACAGATAGCAGTTTCGTCAAACTGCACCCTAATACCTTCTCCACCTATTTTAACCATTTCTGGCTCTTATTCAGAAATTACTTGCAAAATCAAATCTTTGATTTTAATATAGGTAGTCTCCGAACAATCGCAGAAATCTAGT